CAATGATAAGGCTGAACTATTTGTAAAGAACTTTTCTTCTGATTCGACGCTTGAATCTTATGGTCGTTCTCATTCAAGTCATACTTTGATTAAACTCCTCTAAAACTTGTGGTCCAGACAATATTTCTGTTATAGTCTTACAAAATTTTTTTCCAGAACTCTCTTTTTCTTAATTTTCTTTAAACTGTTAAATAAGTGCTTGATTGAGTCTTGTTTTCCTGCCTGTTGTAAAATGGCATATGTTGTTCCAATTTTTAAAAACTCTGGTAAACATTCTGACCCCTTCAATTATCGTCTAATCAGTTTTTTTTTTGTTATTAGCAAGGTCTTTGAGTCTTTGATAAATAAATTTCTCGCATCCCATTTTAAGTCAAGTAACTTGCTGTCAGACAATCAATACGGTTTTCGATCCTCTCAATCTAGGGCTGACTTAATAACTGCTGTTACTATAAGATTTTATCGTGCATTGGATGGAGGGTAGGAGGCTAGGACTATTGTTCTTGACATATCTAAGGCTTTAAACAAAATTTGATATTCTGGTCTTCTTCATAAGCTTGTTTCATATGGTGTATCTGGGAAAGTTTCTAAGATAACCAAATTGTTTCTTTCTAACCGCTTTATTAAAGTCATCCTCGAAGGCCCGAACTCTTTACTACTTTATTTGCAGTAATTTCTGGAGTACCTAAAGGTTCTATCTTTGATCCTATTTTATTTTTTATCTACATTAATAGTCTTCCCGGCAACCTTACGTCAAAATTAGCTCTTTTTCATGATGACTCAACTTTATAATCCTGTCTTGACAAAAAGTCATATTTTCGATCGCTTAGAACAGGTAGCCGATCTTAAATATGATCTCACTTCTGTAACAGATTGGAGCTCACAGTGGCTAATATATTTTAACTCCAATAAAACTCAGTTATTTACTGCAAAAAGCTATTGCAGTACTGTTGGCATTCCTGTATTGATAAATTGCAACCCTCTCACAGCGTCCTTTTCTTAACGTCTTCTTGAATTATCCTTTACTACTAACCTTTCATCAAAACCATTTATATAAGCAATTGCTAAATTAGCATCTATTAAGGCTGCCTCTCTTTATTGTGCTCGCCATTTTCTTTCTCCTGATTCCATTCTTAACCTTTACAAATCTCTTATTCGTCCCTGTATGGAATACTCATGTCATATTTGTAATCAAGTTTATCTGAAATAAAAAGTTTACCAGCCACTGAGAGCCCCACGCTGTAGCAGAAATGAGATCCTTTTCCAGCACAAATGCTCCCTCTTTAAGCAATCAGAGAGAGTTGGCTTCTTATTAAGACAAAAAAAATGATAGCATCCGCTGCAAAATATTTCAACTTAGATGTGAGAATATCTGGAAGATTGTTAATGTAAATTAAAAAGAGTATAGGGCTAAAGATAGAACCTTGAGGAACCCCTGAAGTTGCAGAATATGAACAGGAGTTCTGTCCATCGAGGACAACTTTTTTACTACGATTAAAAAGTAAGGATTCAATAATCTTTAAGATATTACCTGATACACAGTAAGAAGTAGAATGACAAATCAGCAGTAGAATGAGAAGATCAAAATTCGTATTAATGATTAAAAAGTAAGTTATTAGATTCAAGATGAGAGGATAAGTTTTTGTTAATTAAAAATTCCTAAACTTTGCTTATGATAGAATGAAGACTAATGGACGGTATTTAGACGAGTCAGATTGCTCTCCAGAATTTTTGAAAATCGGGATAAGAGATGCTGCTTTCTAGCAGGCTGGAAAACAAGACTTTAATAAACACTTTTTAAATAGCTTTGAAAGTATTGACGAAGACTTCTGCAAGACTATAACAGATATATTGTCCGGACTACAAGCTTTAGAAGAGTCTTAGCAAGAAATCACTTTAGGAAGCACTTTACCTTTGTTTTTCGGTGAGGTGACAAAGTCTGAACCATACAAGAGAGGTGGAATAACAGATTTGCCTTTAATATTGATACTGTTAACGATTCTCCAGAAGTCTCGAGAGCCTAATTTTCGAAAAGAAATACCAGACTTCATGCCCTGAGATTGGGAGGTTTAGACGTTTGACAAAACCTCTTTACCTTGGTTCCTAGCAATAGTAAACAGATGTCTGTTTTCTGGAGAATTGTTTTACTGATAGATATGGAAGTAATGGTTTCGATTGGCAATTGCAGCAGCACAATGTGAAGAAAAGCATGGAGAAGAGTGAGGCTTGACCTGGAATTGTAGAGAGGGAATAAAGGATTCCATGCCAGCCTGAATCCACGAAGTTATGTAAGAAGCACATTTGTCAACAGGGAGACGAAAGATTTCTACCCATGGGCCATCACGAAGAAAATCACGGAAAGAGTCCCAGTCAGCTTTAAGGTAGTTGTAAGATGTACAATGATAGGGGGATTCTGATGGTAAAGAAGAATGAGATAATAGTTTTAGAGAGACCAAACCATGATCAGAAGCACCTAAGGGTGAGTGTCAAGAAACTGAGCACTGACTAGGATCAGAAACAAGACATAAGTCGAGTAGTGAAGGTCTATGATTCAGGTTATCTGGAAAGCATGTTGTAAAGTTGACTATTTGAGTTAGAGATTGAGAAATGGAAAAGTTGTATGTCTTAACCCTTGCAGAGACACTTACACTAAAGCCAAGCAAATCAATGTGATGAGCATTAAAGTCACCAAAAACAACGATGTTTGATGGAGAGGGCTTAAATCAGTCTCATTAAGAGCAAATAGGTCTGGTGAACTTTGCAAGAGATAAGACTCAACGGAAGAAAAGTTACTTCGAAGAACACGAATATTAGTGAATGATAGGTTTAGAGAACCTGGTGATGACGTTGGTTTTTTGTGTTTAACAGGTTTGGGTACTTTAATTGTTTTTAAATTTGTTCAAAAACTTGACTCAAAGCATAGATAGTACTCAGTGCTCTATTTAATAAATGCATCAGTAAAACTAAATGCTACCATGTTTTCAGACAATACAAATCTAAATTTATCTAATAGCAAAATGATATGCTTACATGAAGATTGAATTCGAAAAAATAAATGATTGGTTCAGGTCAAATGGTTTTTCTCTTAAAGTTGAAATTACACAATATACCTTGGTTTGTAGAAAACATAAGAAAAAAACCTTCCTCTAAAAATGCCAAAACTTCTTACAAAGTAAAAGACAAGATACTATATAATTCTAAGGAGTTATTATGGATGATTTTTTATTATGGCAAAGTTAGTAAAACCATTAGTATTATGCATGGAATTCCCACATACATAAATTCACAAAGTTTTACATACTTCTACTTAATTGCTACATTACTTATGTAAATATTACGTGAGTATGTTGTCAACCGACAAAACGTAAAAAAATTCTTTCTTCACAAAAACATTCTTATAGAATTATATACAACAAAAAACTTGTTGACTTCATTAAACCTTTGGTAATGAATATGAAAATGATTTTTTCAAAAATGTTCAGCCAGACTAACTTCACCTTGATTTCATTTCAAAAATGTTCAGCCAGACTAACTTCACCTTAATTTTATTTCAAAAATGTTCAGCCAGACTAACTTCACCTTGGTTTTATTTCAAAAATGTTCAGCCAGATTTACAATCAATATCTCTAAAATAAACAGCTTCATTCAGAATGGCTCATTTTTCTTCATTATTAATTTTCTTTTATAATTTCAAATCAAAAGTATTTGATGGAATACATCCTCGAGTCTTAAAAAATTGTGCGGGCGCTTTTGCAGTACCGCTAACACTTATTTACCAACGCCTAAACATTATGTATAAATATACAAGTAATCGAACTTCTGAAATCTCTATAAGAAAGTTTAATGAAAATCTAAATGAGAAGTATTTCTTATAGCTAAATCAAAGTAACACATACAAAATGCCTAAAAAAGTAAACAAATATACAGAATATAGTGTAACTTATAGAAAAACTAAGCTATGAAACTCATTTCCGAAAGGCAATTGAAATATTGCAAAATTGTTAAATTCATTTTAGTATCAAATAAAACTTTTCCTTTTTTTTTATTATTGGCGACTATTTATATTTTTAATTACTATATATTCTTTGTTCACTATATGTATTTGTAAATATTATATCTTCTTTTTTGATTAATTGAGGGTATTTGTACTTTTACAATTTTTTTTTTGAATTGCAGTTTACATAAGCAGTAAAATAAAAAATTATAAAAGAAAAATAATAATGAAAAAAAGAAAAATATCCATTTTGAATGAAGCTGTTTATTTTAGAGATATAGATTGTAAATCTGGCTGAACATTTTTGAAATGAAATCAAGGTGAAGTTAGACATTATTAAAGAGGTAAAAAAAAAACTAAAAAAGACGTACTAAGCTTAGCTCTTTTTTTAGTTTTCTTTACTTATGTTCAGCCTTCACGTTTAAACAGAAAAAAGTATATAATACTTGCTTTTACTGCAAGAATTGTCGATATGGTACAACAATATTTTTTTATAATTAAAATACTTTTCTTTGGCGAAAGTTAGTTCTGCTTTCAGTAGTTCCGCAAGAGCTTTACTCCTAGGCAAAAAAAGCTGTAAGTTTGTCTTTCCTCCTTAACAAAGAAATAAAACACACACCAAATTACATAATACCTTACGAAAATTATAATTCAAAGTTGAAAAAGCTTGTTAAATATTTAAAATAAATTTTTTTAAATAAATGAAATTGTAGTTATAACATAAGAATATATTAACATGTTTTTATATTATAAAAAGTAACTAATCAATATATTTTTTTAATCAATCAGTATATTTCTGAAATATTTGGTATTACATTTCAATGTTGCTTACAAAAAGTATAAACTACTAACATCAAGTAAAGACCTAATGACAATGATTAAAATAGTAATAATAATAACAATAATAAAAATATTTATAATAACAATAACAATAAATAATAATAATAATAATAATAATAACAATATTATTACGAAAAAAACACCTAAACTTTTTTGTTCAACACTGTATTTACAAGTCCCTGTGTAATAAGATTAACTAATTATAATAAACAACTCACGTCCAGGAGGTAATCCACTGTTTAAGGGTAGTAACCCTTCTTGCTACTCAAGACTTGACGAGACTAGTTGTTGTTGTGTTAAGAAGATGCCAGCATCTAAAGTTAATTTCTCAACTGACACGCAGCCAAAGATTGATGACAGCAAATTTGAGCGACTATCATTAACTGAAAATTATCAAAAAGCTTCGAAATATTGTCAGCTGGATGTGCTTTTGCATTTTATTATTTCAAAAATGAGAGATGAAATGACAGGTATAAAAAACATGATATACGACCAAATAATCGAGAAAACTTGAAAGCGGAAGTCAAGGCTTAAAAAAATAAAGTCATTAGTGCAACAAATCCATTTAACAAAACATTTGAAACTGCTCTTATTGAAAACTCAACCAAATAAAAAACTACCCCCAATATAGTAATAAATGAAAGAAACGAAAGAAACGTCATAATTACAGGCTTTGAACTTTCTGAAACATGTTATCTGGTAGGTCATTAGATAACATCAAATTATGGCTATCCGAACGTCTACAGAGAGTTACAATATCCGGGTGTCTACAGAGAGTTATAATAGCACATGATAAATCTGAATTGAAAAAAGTAACGAGTGGCGTTCCTCTAGAATACGTTTTACGCTTCTTTATTTTTTGTGATATACATAAACGACCTACCAGATAACATTTCCGGCTATATAAAACTTTATGCGGACGACAACAAAATAATGAAAATAATAAAAACACCAGCTGATGCCTTTTCTTTGCAAAACGATATTGACAAAGCCATGGAATGGAATAGAGATGGGCACATGTTTTTTAATCTTGATTAGTGTAAGGTTATGCGTGTTGGTCGCAAAAACAAAATCAACTAATAATTACACAATGTTACACTGTCAACTGTAGTACATTTTAACTGATGACGAAATGCAAGGACGGATTTCGTCATCAATTAAAATGAACTACAGTTGAGTGTGAACTTGGTATTTTTGTGTCTAATGATTTGAAATTAAAATCACAAGTAGATGCAGCAGCAGCAAAAGCAAATTGGAAATTAGGTGTGCTAAAAAAAGAATTTATCAAACGTGGTGTATTTCTCTGGAAAATTTTATACACTTCATATACTCGACCTCATCGTTTGCAATATAAGCCTGGTCACCACACCTTATTAGCAATATCAACAAATTAGAGCAAATTCAACATCGCGCAACAAAATTAATAAACTCTTTGAGACATCATTGTTATGAACAAAGATTAGAAGCACTTGGACTGACGACACTAGAAGCGAGAAGGCGCAAAGGGGATCTCATAGAACAATTCAAAATCAATCAAAACCTCGAACAAGTAGATTTCTATATACCACAACGTTACCTCTTTTCCAAATCAGTGTTATACAACCTAAGGCGGAACTACGAGTTTATGCGTCAACCGCAGCGAGTCAAAAACTGTATAGAGAGACTCAACTTTTTTACAAATTGTGTTTGTGCATCATGGAATGCGCTTTTCAGCAACATCATTAACTTAAAATTTTTTAATACTTTTAAGTCAAGATTGCAGCATCAGAACACAAATAATAGAACTATATGGATCAGATATGTGAACATAGCAATACCTGGCGCTGAGCTCCGTCAAATTTTATAACATTTTTTGAAAAATTTGATTTCTGAATAAACTAAACTATATACTAAATAAATAAATAAAATATAAACAGAAAAATACAGAGAAAATCAAAACAAAAGCTACAATAAACATTACTAACAAAAAATTACGTTAATTATTTTTGGCAACAAATTTTTTATTCTATGGATTTAATAACATGTTATTTTATTCTATTTAAAATTATAGTTATATTATATATACATAAAATGTGTAATATATATATATATATATATATATATATATATATATATATATATATATATATATATATATATATATATTTATATATTTATGTTGGTATTGCCCTCAAGACGCTTAAAAAAAGCTGTTTTTATTTATGTTGTGGGCTTTTATTTCTAAAAATGTTTTGATTCAATGATGCTCCAATTTTTCTTTTTAAACACTAATGGCCAGACCCATCAGTGTTCAGAAAAAAACTCTCTAAAACGCTCTAACCACTGTATTACGGCTGCTGTATAAGTTAATATGTAAATCCATAAATATTGTTTTTAGTCCTAAAAATGTTAACATTATTTCAATATTTTCAAATGTTAATATTATTTCAATATATTCAAAAATGTTAATATTATTTCAAAAATTCAATATTATACATATTGTATGTTAAAAACCCTTGTTAAAAATTCAATATTAGGCATATTGCATTGTTAAAAGCGCTTGTTAAAAGTTCAATATTAGACATATTGCATGTTAAAAACACATACGTTAACCCGAATATCTACCAGCAAGCTATAATTATATCGGTCAGAAAATTCTAATATTACTTTTAATTTCAAAAATGCATTCCTTGACCCCAAAATCCATAAACCCATAGTTAAGTCCTCTAAAAATTCATATACCAATCCAAACAATTACCAAGGTGTCAGCATTGTTTCAATATTTGCTAAAATTTTAGTTTACCAGAGATAAAAGAAACTTATCAACTTCAATTTGGTTTTAATAATAAGAGCTCAACTTCCTTCTTAAATTGGTTGTCAACGAAACAATTAAGCATTATAACCACAACAATTCGCCTATTTATAATACTCAGTAGGTGCTGAAAAGACTTTTGACAGTTGCAACGTGATATTTTTTTTAATAAACTTTATTTTAATAAAAATCATTCTCTCCAAATAGTTGACACTATATCTTCTTTATATCGAAGCGGCAGTGCAACTGTTTTATACATCGATTTTAAATCAGTCTCATTTAATCTTAAGCAAGGTGTGAGACAAGAATTGATTCTGTCACCCTACTTAATAACATATACACTGAAAAGCTACTTGCAACTATAAAAAATGATGATTTTGTTGGTACTACTATATATGAAAACTCGACTGGTGTTGTAACTTATGTTGATGACATCATTCTTTTCAGCTCTATTCTCTTGGGCCTAAAAAACTTTTTACAATGTGCAACATGTACAACAATTTAAAGGGCATAAAAATTCTGTCAAAACGGGGCTTTTACTCTCCCGAAAAAGACAAATAAACTGCACAATAAAAAATAATAAACTGTACAATATCCTTAGACGACCATCAAATTATACCTCATGAGAAACTTAATCATCTCGGCTTTACTTCAATTTTTGATTCACTTAATAGAATGAATATTGACAGTAGGGTATAAAATTTTTAGGCAACGGTGCAAACTCCGATTCAATCTGGAATCCGGTTTGCACATCCAAAGTTTACCAAAATTTCATTAAAAATGCAAAAAAAAATATTACAGTAATCAAATTAACAAATGCAAATTTGATTGCAAAAAAACGTGGTCCATCATTAATGTCATGATGGGAAGAGAAAAACTAAATTCACCTTCTCTACCTGTATCTCTTAGATAAATTAAGACATTACGGAATAATCAATAAAACTTATTATTGGATTAAAAGCTATCTTACAAACAGAAAACAATATGTAAATAATGCCCAATCTGGAGTGTTAAATGTCATATGTGGAGTTCCGCAAAGGATCGATTCTTGGTCCACTTCTTTTTTTAATATATATAAATGACTTCTGTAATGCATCCTTAAAACTTAATTCAATCATGTTTGCAGATGACACGAACTTATTTCTTACCAACAACGATATCAAGAAATTATATGCGGACATGAATATTGAACTAAATAAAGTAAATAACTGGTTTAAGGCTAACAAACTCTCACTTAATGCCGAGAAAACAAACATATACTATTTCATAAAAAAACACAAGAAGAAAATCATCCTCTCAAGTTGTCGAACCTATTTATAAATGACAAATTAATTAAAAAGCAATCCAATATAAGATTCTTGGGAATCTTTGTTGATGAAAAATTATCCTGGCTTCTTCATATAATATATATCCAGTCAAAAATTACCAAAATCATAGGTTTAATGTATTGAGTTCGCTCGTACATCAATACAAATAGTCTTAACTTAATCTACTTTGGGCTAATTCACAGCCTCATCAGCTATGCAAACATTTCATGGGCAAGTACTTAAACAGCAAAGCTTAAGAAACTTTATAGTTTTCAGTAATAAACTTTTGGTTTTTTTCAAAAAAAAAAAAAAAGTTTATTATCCAATTATATCAACCAATTTTTTTACTTGATAACCTTTGAAATCAATAATTCACATCTTTACTACTGTTAGTTAAACCTTTTTTTTTTAGATGATATAAAAAAGTTATATAATACTCATAAACTTTATATGAAAACCTTAATGCTGGTTAAAAATAAATAAAATGATAAAAGAATGTAATTCCTGAAGCTTCTCTTCATATTTTGGTACAGGCGGTTTAATGTTGTAATGTAAAACAACAGCAAACAATTTTTAAAAACATACTTGAGGAAAACAATTCTAAATAATACTTTTTTATCTCTTTTTTCTTAGTTTGTATTTTTATTATTTTTAGGTGCCCCAAGAAGACAAGAAGCGCCCCGCGAAAAGTGCATTTTACCTGGAAGTTCATGCCTTCTTCCTTACCGTGACGCGAAAATATGTCCAGACCTCGTTTCGAACCTGGATCTCCTGCATATAAAGCAGGTGCTCTAACTATTGCGCCAAGGCCGCATAAATACGTGTAAGCAATGTCAATTTTGTTTAACTTTATACTTTTTGCATTTTACACTTCACTGAGGTATTGCGCGGAGTACCCTTCTGTCAAATTCCCTGCCTTTGTATGATCATTTATATGATCATTCTTAAAATTCAACTTCATAAATAAATATTGGGAAAAGAGTTATTTAAATAATCGTGCTCAATATGTACACATTACCAATAAATCATTAAAAACGTTACTAAACGTTACTTGTGGCATGCACAAGGTTCTATACTCGGACCTCTTCTTTTTCTTATATATATCAATGATCTCCATAAAGCATCCAGCCTGAGAATAATGTTTGCCAAAGACACAAACTTTTTGTTATCGCACGGCAACATTACGATATTATTTGAAACTATGAACTTAGAACTTAAAAAAATTTCCGACTGGTTCAAAGTAAATAAAAATTTCAGTAAGTATTGACAAAACTAATTGGACTCTATTTCACCCACTTTCTAAAAAAAACTAATGCCATACGAAACGCCATCTACATTCCTTGATAATATTCAAGTAAAAAGAGTACAAACTACTCAGTTTTTAGGAATATGTATTGATGAAAACCTTAGATAAAGATTGCACATCGAAAAGTTAAGCAACAAAACTTCAAAAAGTGTTGGAATATCATACAAATCGAAAAGCTATTTAAACATGCAACTGTATTATTCACTTATTCACTGTCTGCAACTGTATCATTCACTTATTCACTGTCTCATTAACTATGCAAATATTGCGAGGGACAGTACTAACAAAAGTAAACTAGATCCGCTTTATCGTCATTAGAAACATATAGCACTTTTAGTTAATTCTTGTGATTGACTAACTCATTCAAAATCTCAAGAAAAATTAGCGTTTTAATTATATCAATTTAACGTATATATTATTCTTTGTTTTATGTTCAAATGCAAAAACGATCTACAAAATGATGATTTTTTGATGCAACCATTTTCGAAAACTAATAATTCTAAATTTTGCATATCATTTCGTGGAACGTATGTTTGGAACAAAATTGTCTTAAATAACGTTGATTTTTCTTTTGAATGGAATTACATACCTTTTAAAAAAAAGTTGAAAAAAGTAGTTTTTGAAATTGACAATATACAAATGTACTTTAGAAATCCTTTTTATCTTTTATTTATATCGGTTTATATGATTTGATATGTATGCTTTTAATTGTATGATTTGTATTTCAATTATTTGCGATTAGCAAGCCTGTATTGCTTTTATGTTGGCTGTCTATAACATCTATAAGAAATTTTTTGTAAATTTTAAAAATAAAAATTTATTTTTATTTAAATCTCATTTTTCTTGATATGAATTGTAAATTAATTATTTACGATCTGCAACCCTATAATGCTGTTATATTATCTGTTAAATAATCTTTATGAAATTTTTTGTAAACTTTTTTTTTTTTTGTAAATTTTTTTATTTAATTCTTGCTATTCTTTTATTATTGCAAAATACTTTTTATTTACTACGTAAAATATTTAACATGTTAGAATGCAACAATGTCATTTTACAGCGGTACTCGACGACACGTTTCCCTACCCCCATGCCAGACATGCAACCCCACACCATTAGGGTGCCACCACCGTGCTTCACTATTGGAACAACACACTCCCAACGGTATCGTTCACCTGGTCTTCGACGTACCAATGTGCGCTTGTTACCGCAAAACAATTTAAACGAACTTTCATCGCTGAACAGTACTTTTTTCCACATAGCCACTGTCCAGTCGCGATGTGCACTAGCAAATGCCAGTCGTTTCTTGCAGTTCACTTTTGATAACAGCGGCTTTTTCGCAGCAACACACCCCCACAGATTAGCCTCGCTTAATCGCCGACGAACTGTCTGATCCCCAAGTGAAATTCTGTGGTCCCCTGCCATTTTTTGATCTCAAATCAGGCAAGGTTAACCTTCAATTCGCCATTGACATCCTCACCAGGATCCTGTCCTTTTGAACCGAAGTCTTCCTTGGGCGTCTGGATTGCTTTTTGTCCTTCACAGAACACACAGTTTTGTCTTTTTTCAGAATCCGCTGGACTCCCCCATGAGAAATTTCCATTTTCAAGGCCACTTTTCTTGTAGACATCCCAAATTTTGCATATCACTTCGTAGACATCCCATTTTCTGACATAAATTCAACCCGTAGACGCTCTTCCTCAGCCAAACGACGATAAACTGACATCTGAAAGATGCAAAATGTAGCTAATTAGGGATTAATATAATTAATAAATATTATTTTAAAACAAAATCAACTAAAGTAATGCAAATGCAAAGCTGTGCAAAGCTTAATTTAGCAGTAATAGTAAAAAAATCATTTTATTTAATACAAGTACCAATTTAAAGTTGCATAATAGCCAAGCACTGTTAGACAATCTTAAAGGCACTTAAAACTAAGAATTAGCTGTTTAAAATTGCTTAAACTCGCACTATTCATATGTTTTTCTAGAATGTTCTACTCTAATTTTATTTCTATGCAATAGCTAGTAATCATTATTACATAAACCTAAAGTTCTCTCTTATACAAACTAAAACCAATAATTCTTACCTTTAATCAAATGCACGGTGACTAATTATAAAGCTTAAAAACTTTTCTGTCAAGAGAGTTTACAAGTGTTACTGTAGAAACAATTAACAATATAATTATATAATAGGCCTATATATATATATATATATATATATATATATATATATATATATATATATATATATATATATATATATATATATATATAATTTAATATATAAAGTTATATATATATATATTATATACATATATCTATTTTATTTATACAGTATATACTGTACTGTACATTAAACTGAACTTCTATTTTAACTTTTAACAATTATTAATTGTCATTTATTTTAATTTGTCAATTTACTTATTAACTTAACTAATAAATTTTTGTTCTATTGTTACAGGACCTCGCATAGGCAGCCTACTACATACAGCTATGGATCATTACAAGCATAAATCTGGTGCTCAAAAAAGAAAAGAAAAGATTGCTCGAGGAAAAATCAGCCAAGAAAGGTCAAAGTACGATTAAGTCTTTCGGATTTATAAATTGTAATCGTATTGATGGTGTTTCTGAGGATCAGATGTGCAAGATGAAGTCACAACTCTCAAATGTTGAAGTAGAGCCAGTGCCAATTGAGGAAGATGAATTGTTAAATAGGAAAGTTATGAGTGCTGATGTGAAAGAGAATGTAATAGACGAAAATGAAAATATTCCTCTAAAGACATCAACTGCAAGGCTAGAAGAATTACTAGACAAGGCAGACGATGTCCAACTAGTTCCATCAAATAACTATGATATTGGTTTAATTAAGGAATTATTTTGCACTGCTGAACAAATAGAAAAATTTGTTCATCATGGACCCATTGCTCACCCAACAAAATTTCCAAAAGATCCATTGTCTAAGTCATTTCCGCGCACGTTATTTCACATTGCCATGCCAAATGGCGAAAAAATTCCACGAGATTGGCTAACATGGAGTGAGACGAAGAATGCACTTTACTGTTTTCCCTGCCGACTTTTCTCTAAAATGCCAGAAACCCATCAATCGGCATTATCTCTGCCAACAGGATATTCCAAGCCCAAGGACAATAAATGGAAGAAACTTTATGAAAAAATTCCTCATCATCAATCCAGCAGTGGGCATAAGATGTGTTATGTAGAATGGAGACGATTAGAAGAAAATCTCAGAGATAATACAACTATCAATTTTCTACTAAATGATAATATAAAGACAGAAGTAGAAAGATGGAGGCAAATACTTCGTAGAGTATTAGATGTTATCTTGTTTTTGGGTGAAAGAGGTCTTGCATTTAGAGGCGATAGTCATCTAATTGGTGACCCCAAAAATGGGAATTTTTTGGGAATTATGGAACTCATTGGTCATTACGATTCCATTCTACATGATCATCTCGAAAAAGTAAAAGCTTCTCAACAGAGCCATAAGCGAATGCAAGCACATTATTTGTCAAATGATATCCAGAATGAGTTTATTCAGTGCTGTGCAGATAAAGTCAGATGTGATATTAGATGAGAGGGAGAAATGCAAATATTTTTCAATGATTGTGGATGCAACGCCTGATACAGCTCATATTGAGCAAAATGTTTTTATTTTAAGATACTTCTTACAGGACAAATTGACAGGAAAATATGAGGTAAAAGAGAGATTTCTGGAATTTGTAGATTGCAATAAAAAAACTGGTGAAGATATTGCAAATATAATTACTTCTACTCTTCAGAAACATAAAATACCACTGATGTGCTGCCGTGGACAAGGATACGACAATGGGAGTAATATGAAAGGTTCAGTCAAGGGAGCACAAGCTCGAATTCTTCAACATTATCCACTTGCTACTTACTCTCCCTGTGCTTGTCATAGTCTGAATTTATGCGGTGCACAAGCTGCTGAATGTTGTCCTCAAGTGATAACTTTCTTTGGGATAGTGCAAAAACTGTATAACATATTTATTAGCAGTCCTCAAAGATGGGAAATTTAAAAAAAAAATATTGGTTCGTCTTTTCATAGCATGTCCCAAACGCGCTGGTCAGCTAGAGAGGACTGCATTAAGCCATTCGCAACCCACCTTCCTGGTATAATCAAATCAGTAGCTGATATAAGGAACCTAAATTTGTCTATAGAAAATATCTAAATGGGATTATTTCATATATGGAATTGTTTGAATGCATTCTGATGTCCGCTATATGGTTCAAAGTACTTACTGCTATCAATTACACCAATCTTGTTTTGCAATTACGGAATGCTACATTGGATGTAGGAGTGACCAACATCAAACGACTAATTGATGAATTAAAAACTCTTCGAGATAAATGGGATTCTATTATGGTGGAGAGTAAATTAGTTGCAAACACCTTAAACATTTCTTAAGAACTTCCAGAACCTAGACGAAAAATTAGGAAGCGATTTGCTGATAAGACACCTGATGAAATTTCTCTATCAAATTCTGAAAATAATTTTAAACAAAACGTTTTTTATATATTATTGGACTGCATTATAGGGAATATCAGTAGACGATATGAAGCTGCATATGAAATTGACAAAACTTTTAACTTTCTCTGGAAGTATAATCATTACGAAGAGGAAGAAATTCGCCGAAGGAGTAAGGATTTTGTGAATAAATACAAGGATGATGTTTCCATGGAGCTGATTGATGAGCTTTTGCATTTGAAATTTATCCATGATGTTAACATTAAAAATGATTTGGACCCCTTTCTTCTTCTTAATAAAATCAACGACATGAATCTTATATGTCTTTTCCCCAACATTTGTATTGGCCTGAGAATTTTTTGTACATTACCAGTTACGGTAGCACAAGCTGAACGGTCTTTTAGCAGACTGGCGCTTATAAAAAATGATCTAAGATCAACAATGACGCAAGGTAGAGTTTCTGGCTTGGGAATTTTAGCGATGGAGTGTGATTTAGCAAAAAAGATCAATTTTGACAGTGTAATTGCTGATTTTGCCGAGGAAAGTTTTAATCTAACTTACAGGTTTTATATATTTTAATTTTGTTGTTGTTAAATTATATATAATTTTTCACTGTATTGTATTTAAAATATACTTGTAAATAAAATACTGTATATAGTCAAATTAAAAAATTATTTGTATCAAAAGTAGTATTATTCATATGTCTGAAGCCCTAAGCCCTGAGGGGGCCCGTCAGTTTGATATTACCCCAGGCCCGGTACCAGCTCTCCACGGCCTTGCGTAGAGCATAGTCAATAGAAGTTATACCTTCTATTGAATAAAAGTCAATAGAAGTTATTGAATAAAAGTCAATAGAAGTTATAACTTCTATTGCGTAAAGTAGTCAATTAACATGTAACATGCCGTTTGCGTGGTCAAATGTAATTTTTAACCTCAAAAATAAATTCCTTGGCTCTGAAAATTTCTATTAACAAGCTGGTATAATAGATTACGAGGTATAATGCCTCTACTATAACTCTGTTTTTAACAATGTTTTTTGATTGAGGCTGTTTTTCTACATCTACGACACACGTGCGCCGTTAAGCCTTTTCCCCTAAATTTGAAATTAAAAAATCGCTACGCTATTTTAAAATTTTATTTTTACACTGTTTTTATCTTCCACACTCTTTTCTATAATTTCTCTATATTTGTTTCTTTATGTTTTTTTTATTTTCATATTTATATATATAAATATATATAAATATATATATATATATATATATATATATATATATATATATATATATATATATATATATATATATATATATATATATATATATATATATATATATATATATATATATATATATATATATATATATATATATATATATATATATATATATATATTCATACATGAAAATAAAGAAAATATAGAAAATCAAATATAGAGAAATAAATAGAAATACATGTATTGCTATTATATAGTATTTTATGAAAATAAAAAAACCTCTAAACTGAACTTGTTTAAATAGAAATAATAAAAACCTATAAGTTTTCTATTTATATACTTTATTGTATACCATACAAAGGTTTTTATGTTATAAATATTTAGCATGTAAAATGATTTGTGTTTGTTATGGATGAACAAACCTGTCCAAGATGTAAAACAACTACTTACAGGAACAAGTCTTTGAAGTTGTTGGTTAATGTATGTGGACATAAGTTGTAAGTTGTATCTGTCGAAAAGTTCAAAATTGCTTTATAAAATATTTTTTAAGTTTTTTCCTTGCATCTGTGTTAAATTTTCTTAAACTTGATACTTATTTTCTAATGTTGTAGATGCCAGACTTGCGTAGATGTCTTGTTTACACGTCCCTCAGCAGCTTGCCCTCAATGTAATACTGCATTAAGAAGAAGTGATTTTCGAAACCAATTATTTGAAGATGATGCTGTTGAAAAAGAAGTTGATGTTCGCAAAAAGATTTTAAAAATGTATAGAAAAAATTGATTATGTAAGTTTTTTTTTCTTTTTAATTATAATTCTTAAAGTTTTTAAATTTTTCTTTTCCAGCTACAATAAACGAGAAGATGATTTTAATTCTCTGGATGAATTCAATAATTATCTTGAAGATATTGAAATAATAAGTAGGTATAATGTTTAAATGAAATAATAATATATTTTATATGCTTAAAATAAATAGCATTTAAAAATTAAATAAACTCTAAATTTGGAAATTATAATCACTTTGTGTGAGTATTTGATGTTGTTCCTGAGTTTTTGAAGTTGTTCCCGATTTCCAGTTTCAATTTTTTTCAAAACTTCCTGATTTCATATAGATATGAACATATACAAATATGGAGTTCAGTTCATATTAAAAGTTATTTAAAAAAAAAAACATGATCATACCCAGGGTATGACCAGATTTTTTAAATGCCTTTTTAATGTTAGTGTACACTTGTTTAGCTGGACTAATCATTCCAGCTGTAAACAAAAGTTACAAATATGTTATTATTAAGCATACTTTTTTTTTTTTTTAATTTACCTCCTCATGGCTGAGAAGGCCACTACAGATGAGGAGGCTACTTAATAGTGGTTATAACCCTCTCTCAACTCTATAACTCCGAAACATGAACCTTGACGAACAAGGCAGCTGCGCGGAGAAACAAGTTGAGCGCGGTACTACCAGGGACGTGGTGGGGATCGAACTCGGAACCTCTCGCTTATGAAGCGAGTGTTTTACCACTACACCACTACTGCATACTTTTCCCAGTTCTTCTCATCAAAATGGCCAAATGAAATTAGCAAATTTCTTTTGATATTGCTAGTTGCATGCTAATTCAATTAAATTTGTTATTTTTAGCGTTATATTTCATATCCATTTTAAATTTGTTTTACAAGTGAATATAAATGTTATATATAATATAAATAGAAAATTTTTTATTCATTTTCTTATAAAGAATGCAGGGATTTGTATAAGACCCCTTGTTCTTGTTATCGAGAATTTTTAGAAAGTAAAAAAAAAAATAGCAAGATTATATCATAGAAAGACATAGATATAATAGCATTGATGTCATAATAACGTAAATATCAAAGAATACTTATGAATATACTTAACAAAAAATTATCTTAAAATAAAATAAAATATTTTTAAAAAATTTCATTTTTTAAAATTTGACTGATCTAAATTCACTGACTGACTTATCTAAAGGGCCTAAGGTCTACATCTAGGAAGATTAACATCTAAACTTTAGATGTCAATCTTCCTAGTGATATTATCATATAAAGTTTTAAATCCTATCTTCAAATGGGTTTGTGCCAGAAAGGACATCTTGTTGCAAAAACATGTTTTAACTATTCAATAAAGTCATTTTTAAATTAGAAAATGGCATTATGGAAGCTCTTCCAAATTACACAAGCCATCTGAAACCATAGACACTAAACTTAAAAAAAAAAGTAGAACATAGTACCAGTAGGTAGAATTCTCTGTTGTGGTTTGCAATCGAGATTCTCTTTAATTTTAAAATATTCTATAGTTTCCTGATTATAATATCCTTGGATTTGAGTATTTAATTAACATTTTTTAATAAAAATAGATTTAAAAAATTTTTAAATAAAATGAAACTTAACAATACATATTATGCTATGTTTTCAAAGTTGACGAAAACATAATTTAGTTTTAAAATAAAAAAAATCATTAAACTAAGAGTTTGATTACATGAAAATAATATTGCATGTGAAAGTTTTAATTTCTATTATTCTTATTATTAATTTCTTGTAACATGGGCAGCTATCTCTAGCAAGTTTTTTGCAATGTAATATAACTAAGTAGTTATATAAGTACAGAAATATATTGTAATAATTATTTAAAATAAAAATTTCATTTTTTTTGTGTTTCAACTTGACCATTTAACCTGTTACAGTCTAAACCAATGATGAACCTAAAATTAGTATAAAATGTCTATTATAAATTTATTGTGAACTTTAATTAATATTATGACTCATTAATCAAAACTTAATCATTACTGCATTAAGAGCACCATGGATTAAGTACACAGTAGTGTAATTAAATGCACCATAGATTAGGTACACAGTAGTGTAAGTAAGTACACCATTGATTAAGTACACATTATTGTAAGTAAGTGCACCATAGATTAAGTACACTGTAGTGTAAGTAAGTGTACCATAGATTAAGTACACATTATTGTAAGTAAGTGTAACAATATTGTAAGTGCATAGTAATAAGAGTAAATAAAGTAAGTAATAAGAGTAAATAAAGTAATCTGCCATTATGGATTTTGTAGTATTACTTTTTAATAAATGATTTAAGATCTAGCAGAAGAATGTGGCTAAAAACTGGTATCTGACCATTTTTGAGGGTGCTGAATTTAAAAATGTTGAGAAAATATTGAAATTTAAATTTTTTGATTGTTATTTTTTGATTTTAAAATGGTCAGTCAAATTTTTTGTTCTGTTACCATTGGTTGCACTTTCATTATCTCTTTTGAGTTGCCTAAGTCTTATGGATTCAATTTATTTTTCAAATGAAGTATTAGATCTTGGGCTATCTTAATAAAAAAAATGGTTTTGGTTTTTTAAAGCATAATAAAGATATGTTAAAATTTAGACAAAAAAAATCCTTTTTTTAGCCTCTGTTCTTCATTATAGAATTTATAGCGATACTTTTTGTGTGAATAATTTAAGTTCTATGAAAAGAATATGACTGAAAATTGGTACCTGACCATTTTTAAAGGTGTTGAATAAAAGATAAAGAGAAAATAACTCAATTCTTAATATTTGAGAATAATTTTTTAATTTTTGAATATCAATATTCAAATTAGTTTCGTAACCATGGTTTACATTTCATTTATTTCACTCTAAATGTGAAAAAAGAGGTCTTAAAAAAGTATAGGTCTCTGAAAGAAAATTAAAAAATTATATTGCTTTGCATAACTTGGATATTTATAACTAATATTTTCAAAAGTATACATGGAAATATAATTTGCTATACATTCATACATACACATTCAAAATATAGTTTTGCTATTTATTAGTTATAATAATTTAACTTAACATTATTAATTAATGTCTAATAATTAAGTATTGTTTCAAAATATTGGTTGCTTGCTCAAATATTAGGTTGCATGCTCAAATATTAGTTGCATGCTCAATTGTTGCGTTAAAAAATGAGAAACTAATACCAATATTTGGAAAATTCCAATTTTTGAAAAAAATTACCAAAATACCAATTTTTGGAAAAAATTACCAAAATACCAATTTTTGGAAAAATAGAAAAAACCTGCTTTATTGAAAAAAGCTCAAAAATAGAAATAAAAAGAAATAATCCAATATTACTAAAATTGAAGTTAATATCATTTAAATAATGAAAGTAAAATATTTTCACTTTCACTCTTTCACTGACAAGATAAAAGCTATTCAAATAGAGTTTCATCTTTTTTTGAGATGTGGTACTGGCGCCCATAAGAAGTTGACAGTGTTTTAACAAGAAAAATGACATTCATTCTTGGCACCCAGTAATATTATCCCACTTTGGTCAGTAGTACGACCAACTTGAATAATGAAATAATAACTTTTCATTTTTATAATTGAATGAGAAGAAGGTATAAATTGATGGAAACTTCTTGTCTCAGGAATATTGGTTGCTATTAAAAGTCTGTCAGTAAGTTTGTTTCTTACTAGCTCCATTTCTTCAGCAGTGATATACAAAGATAATCCCTCTGATTGACTTTTGGCTGTATGCAAACATAGCTTGAGAAGACAATATTTGACCTTTGGTTAGACCCTGCAAGCTAGCAGTTGTAACAAGCTTTTTAACAGTGCCACCTATTCCATTGCAAGGAGGTTTGCCATGGCTTGTTGCAAAGAAATTCCAAATGCAACGAACAGAAAAATCTTGAGCATGGTGACATAAATTGTAAAAATGTTTGTAGTTTTTATACTGACCTGCACAGCCATCTAAAAAATAATGAATTTTTTTTATTGTGGGACAAAGATCAGTTTTAATATGATCAACAGTTTTGTCCATAACTTCATTGATAAATCCAACATCATAATTCAAATCATTTGAAACTACACAAAAAGAAGATATTTCCAATATCACTTTCTTGTAGTACATGATAACTGGATGAAGAGAACATTGACTCTTGCTCCAATGGTAACTATGTATCTCGTCTCGTACTACTAAAGTCTAAATCTCTGCAAAATCTGCCAGTACAATAGCCTCATCAATACTAATTGTTTCTTTGAGATGTTTTAGATTGTGAAGATTGGGATTATGCTATAAATGAATGAGAAGTTTTTATCAAGTTTTTCACATAGGAGCTCTATGAATTCATTAAATGGAAGTTTTATTGTTAATAGTTTAGTTCTATCTGTTGTTGTCCACTGTTTGAAAGCTACTAACTGTTCATTTTTATCATTGTCATATTGCTCATCATTTGGATCATCATTTTGTTTGAGATACTGCTGGAAATAATTTTGGGTAGCTTGTATGCCAGGACAACTATTGCATCAGTGAATCATGCATTCTTTTGGTTTTCTGTCGCATACAATCTTTTCAATGATTTCATGATAAGATGTTTCAAGGCCTACAGCACTCAACATTAATTTAACATTTTGGTGTATTGTATACACACAAACAGAATGTGTACCTTTTGAACCAGCAAATTATTTTTTTTTTTGACGTATTTTTTTTTTCCAAACACTTACAGTCCTTTTTTCCTGGCATTTGCCTTGAATACTTATCGTCATAGTAAAAAAGCCTTACAAGTTCTATATGATCTTTGCTGATTCAATGCAGTTCAACCACATCAGGGTATGCTATGATACCTTTTTGATCACGCAAAAACTTTGCATTTTAATGTTTAGAAACTGAAAACTTTTTTGCTGCTTTTCTGATAGACCGAGATTTTGGGGTCAATGTCAAAAGTTGCTGCCTTCTGTTAGAAACTTTTATTTTTTCATTCATGCATTCAACTAGAAAGTCTAGATTGCCAGCTTTCAATTTCCTTTAGAACTTCATTTGTTCAAGTTGTTTGGTGCAACTAAATCAGTTTCAGTGATATCCAGAGCATTTGCAAGTTTTTTAATAACTGCTTCTTTAACTTGCTTATCTTTCTCTTTCCAA